CCAGTCCCTGAGAGGGCTGCCTCCCCTTTGGCCAACACAGCCTCGTCCCCCTGAAGCCGGGTGGGGCTGCAGCCCCGGATGAGGCCCCAGTCTCCTGCTGGAGCTTGAGGTGGGGAAAGCCCCTTCTCAGCCAAGGCTGGCCTGTTCTCAAAGCGGCACCCCTTGTCTCCCAGCGCCTGGGCCGGGTTTGTGCCTGCAGGGGACCCTGGCAGAAGTGGGGAGTCTGGGGCTTGCCGCTGTGGGCGTGTGGCCCTGGAGTGGCCCTTTCCCTCCCCTCACGGCCTGTCTCCTCCTCAGGTCAGCCTGGATTCCCGGGTGCGCGAAGTCATCAACAGGCGGATGCAGGAGCCCTCGTCGCACACCTTCGACGACGCGCAGCTACAGATCTACACCCTCATGCACAGAGACTCCTACCCCAGGTTCCTGAACTCACCACTCTACAAGTCGCTAGAACAGAGACTTTCTGCTCTGACGTGTGACACCTAGCGAAGTCCTCTGCGTGCCCATGCATCTCAGGAGACCGTCAGCTCCTTCAGCTTCCTGCCAGCCCAAGCCACCAGGGAAGATGGGACAACCCTGGGGAAGACAACTTTGGGGACAGAGCCTCAGTTCTCTCTACCTGTGGGTCACACCACTGGTGTTTCAGTAGTGATGCTGATCTAGAAATTATTCTAGTGTCTGGACCAACCAAGAGATTTGGGGGAGAATTTCACTAGGTCCCGTAAAGATGGGAGAGCCTGGGGGTCCTAGAACTGGGAGCCTTTCAGAGCACTGCTTGTCCTAGAATTCGGATGGTATCTGAGCTGGGGTGGTTCTAGAGCACGGATGGCATGCATGGCTTGGACCTTAGTTCTAGAACTTGGATGGTCACAAGCTGGAGTGGATTCTAGAGTGTGGCTTTTTGTGTCTCATCTAGGTGTTCTACTACATGACTTGCACATATGGCTGGGTTTCTAGAACAAAGGTAATATTGGTTTTCTGGTGGGTTCTAGAGTGTGGAGCCTTCTAGAGCTGTGGGGGCTTTTAGGTGAGTAAACCTTCCAAACGTGAAGCACTGGTTTTTGTTTTAGGGACAAGAAAAATTACCCAGCAAAAATTAATTGTATTTCAGAATTTCTAAGAGTTTCAAAAGTCTCCAAAGTAGACATTCCCCCCACTTCTCTGAAAAGGCTTAGCTAGTCATTCAGTACTGAAGCAGGTCTCAGCTGGCCAGCAAAAAGAAATTCTATCCAGTGAATGCAAAAAGAAATCCACAGGGGATTAATTCAAACCAATGACTTGGCAATGGCTTGCTGGGTGCATCTCAGTAGAGCCCTGCAAATCCACAGATATCTGCTTTATATCTGTGGGTATCCACATCTGCGGATGTGGACGTCCCCGGCTCATTTTTGCAGATACAAATGTTGTATGTAGAACCCTGCCAGTCGGCAGATATCCACTTTACATCTACATCTGCAGATAATTTTTGCAGATATAAATGGGTTATGTCTACACTCGCAGCGTCTTGTGTGAGAATTATGCAAATGAGGCTAAGCGTGGACTATCGGCGAGCCTCATTTGCATACCTAATGAGCCGCCATTTTGCAGAAGAGGCTCTTGCACCAACAGGAGCTGTCTACACTACCCTCTTGCGCAATGTCGCTACGCTGATTATTTTCAGGAATCACGGCATGGCGCAAGAGGGTTTTTCTTGCGCAAGAAGGGGCAGTGTAGACAGCTCCTTCTGGTGCAAGAGCTTCTTCTGCAAAAATGGTGGCTCATTAGGTATGCAAATGAGGCTTGCCGATATTCCACGCTTAGCCTTATTTGCATATTTCTCACCCAAGAAGCCGCGAGTGTAGACATAGCCATGTTGTATGTAGAACCCTGCCAATCTGCAAATATCCACTCTAGATCCACATCTGCAGAAAATTTTTATAGCTGCGGATACCAATTTTGTATCCACAACGGACTCTACAACTCAGATGTTTCTAGCTACTACATAGTCTTAGGACCACACATGCAAAGACTGTCCACTTGTTTTGGCTGTCCACCTTGAGCCACCTTGGGCATGGTTTTCAGAGGCAGTGAGCCCCCCCATAAATCTAGTGGGAGTTATACACACCCAGAAAAGCATTGCAGAGGCATCACAATGAAGCTGTCCCCGTTAAAAAAAAAAATCTGAAAATGTTGGCTATTTGAACAGCTCCTCTCACTGACTCTACAAGTTCAGTCAAAGTTGTTTCCCATGCAGCATCACTCATGTTTTATGACTTGTGGCCAGTCCTATCTACCTCAATCCAAGCGACTGCAACTTCTAAACGCCCCGGCCCTTGTTAGCAGACAGAAGAGTGACTGTGTCTACCAATCTGTATATATACATAGTTACAAATAAATCTGTCCCTAAAGCGAGCTGCTTGGGAGCTTATGTATGAAATAAGCACATGCATCTATCCTGTTCCCTCGGGAGAGACATTCTCATCACAAAAGCCCCATTCACAGATGCCATTAATAATGATTTCTTGCTTTCATCCATAGAGCTCCCACATGCTTGACAGAGGAAGAACCATTATCCTTACTTTGGAAAATGGGAGGGGGAAACTGAGGCACAGAGCAGGGACATGACGTGGCCTAAAGGACCCCTATTCCTACTGTGGTACCCTAGCCCTGAGGACCATGCTGCCTCCATTGACTGGCATCTTTGGTCCACCATTTTTTAAGGAGGCCTGATTCCCCTTTCACTTAGATCAGCATAATTCAAGTGGTGTTGCAGGGGTCCTGCTGGATATGTTGGGCTGCTGATGTCTGCCAAATGACTGAACACCAGAAGACCCAGCCTTTCCCATCCATAGATCTCAAAGCACTTTGCAAATACAGTTCAGTAGCATTATCCCTACTGTATCAGCAGGGAAACTGAGGCACAGAGCAAGGATGTGCTTTCCCAACGTCACCCAGCAGGCCAGTAGCAGAACCAGGAACTGAGCACAGCACCTACTAGCCCCAGTCTAACCGCAGCCTCCTTAACAGTCGAAGGCCCAAATTGCCAGACGTGGCTTGGGGTTTTGGGTGCCTCCCTTTTTGGGGGGCTCAGCTTGAGAAGCCTTCAGAAAGCGCTGAGCTCTGGAAATCAGGGGACACCCCCAGTCACTTTCGGAAATGCAGACCTGGTGCCTGTTTGCTCTAGGGAAACGTGAACGCTCCCAGGGCACTTTGCAGTGGGATAGACTTTGCTCTGGAGGCCGTGGCCTAAAGGACGCCTACTCACACTGCTGCGTGCCCTTGGCTGCTCCCCGCCACCCCAGAGCTGGCTGCATGTCTGCAGCACTGTCTATACCGGGGTGGGCAATCATTTTTGACAGGGGGCCACTCCAAGGTTTTGGAAAGTGGTCGAGGGCCGCACTCTTCCATGATACTAATGGAGGAAATGTAAAGTTTGGGGTGAAGGTTGGGTGCAGAAGGGAGCTTGAGTAAGGAATTGGGGTGCAGGAGGGAGAATGGAGTCTGGGAGGGAGTTTGGGTGAAGGAGGTGGATGTGACCTAGGGCAGGGGACTGGAGTGCAGGGGTTTAGGATGTCACCTAGGGTAGGAGGGGATTGAGGTCTGAGGCAGGAGGTTGGGATGCCAGATCTTGGAGGGGGTGTGGGTATAAGAGGGGGACAGAAGGTTTGGGTATGTTGAGTGGGGGGCAGAGAGTTGGGGCAGGAAAGGGCTGGGTGCCAGAAGCAGGCTGTGGCCAAGAGATTTACTTGTCAGCTACCAAACTTGTCAGCCTGCAGAGCTTACAATGTTTCCCAGCCAGCTTGCCTGCTTGCCTGGCCATGCACTTCATGAATAACTGAGCCCAAGGGAGGGGGCGTGGTTCTTCTTGGCTGCCTGTTACTCCAATAAGGAGCTCACATTGGCCAGTTTCTGGCAGTCCCCAGCCAATGAGAATGTGCTGGGGTCGGGGTGGGTCCCAAAACTTCGCCCCTCCCATCCA